ACCCCGCTCTCTCGGCCCCCAGCCAATCGCGCGCAAGGTTCCGCGTGGCGGGGCGGGGCTTATAGCCCAGCCTCGCTTTCATTCTCTTCGCCCCTCTCTCTCTCTCTCGCCGCCATCGCGATAGCCTCCTGCTTCAGCCGCTAACGGGTCTGCGCGCATCTCTTCCTCCGAAGCCCCCTTTGTTGGTGAGTGCCGCCCTCTTTTCCGTTTCTCTTCGGGGGGGACGGGACACGGGACGCTGAGAGCGTTAAGAGGAAGGTAGAGAGACAGTCCTGAGGGGGGGAAAGAACAACGACGGAGATAAGGGCCTTTTTTTTTTCCCGGGGGTGGGGGAGGGGAGAAGGGAGAGACGCTACACAAAATGGCGGCGGCGGTTGCCCATAAAAGAACGGGCGGGCCGCCATACGCATGCGTCGGTGGTGGGGAAAAAAAGCCCACCGCGGCCCCTCGTGAGGCGCGGCGCGCGTGCGCCAGAGGGGAGCGCAGGCGGTTACTGACGCCTGGAGAAAGTTAGGCAGAGGAGCGGAATCCTTTGCGGCGTAGGAGTCCGGGGGGGGGGGAGGGGGAGAGACAACTCGCGCTGCTGCGCCTGCGCAAAAGCCAGTCGCTTGGCGCTGGAAGCCGACGGTGCTCTAACACGCATGCCTGTGAATTGGGAGGAGGGGGGGGCTCCCCGCGCTTGAGGAACGTGAGCCCGCGCCGCGCTCGCCTTCCCGCATTCTGTTCAGGCCACGTGCTCGCGGCCATTTTATCCTGGAGGGGGTGGACGGGGCCGTTCCTGCCTTGCCGGCGGGCATCGTTTCTCTTCGCTCCGTAGGAGCAGCCTGCAGAAGCGCCTTTTCCCGCCCGTTCTTGGGAGTATGAAGCACAACAACAGCAACAAAAAAAATATGTCATGGTGCTGGGTTAAAGAAAGGGAAAGAAAGGTCCTCGCCCCAATTTTTTTTTATTTTTTATTTTTTATTTTTTTGTAATTTGAGAAATTTAAGGTTTTCGTATCATGCTGCTGAACGGCTTGCCTGCGGCGCCGGGGACGATACGGACCCAGATGCCTGGCTATACGGAGAGGAATATTTCAGTGGCGTTCCTTAGGCAGGTTGTGGTGTGTCTTGAGCGCCTAGCCTGATCATAGGCGCTTTTACGTGGAAGGACGCTCCACTGACCTTTTAGTAAAATTTACAGGATTACCGACTTTATTTCCTCTACCCCTTGGGATGATAGTGATGTGTCTATCAGTTGTGGGGATTACTTAAATATTGCCAGAAGCCACGAAGGTGAGACACCAAGCCGTGTAACTAGTCGACCAACTCTTGAGGCTTGGATTACATAATATGGAATTGTATTTACCACACCTGGTTACAATTGTGTCCGTCCGGATTTAGCCGCATGTGCCTTAAAAGGCAGACTCCCGGGTGTATCCCTGTCCCTTCCTGAGACTACTCCCTTGCCCCGACCCTTCCAAATGGCTGGGGTAGAATTCACTTCCTGCCTGCTCGTAACTCTTGCGTTTTGTCAGGCATATAGGTGTCTGGCTGCTGCTGGAAGGGTGAAGGAATCTTATCCAGGTTTATTGGGAGGGGGGATGTCCTGTGATAAGTGCCTTATAAGCTGCTGCCACAGAGCTCAGAAGACAGTGGACATGACTTGCAAGGTTGGCTAGTGATGCTGAGGATTTCTTGTCCCTGAAAGGCCAACTTTGTATAGCCTTGCAAATCCACAAAAATTAGAGCCTGCCATTTTGCTAATGCTTGTCTGGATTTAAAAAAAAAATACCAAGGGAAAATTGTAAACCAATAACCTTTGAAATAATAGCGTAAAGGCAGACATATGCTTGGAGCACTAAGAAGGGAAGAATGCAAAAGAAGGAATGTTTTTACTCTGAGGTAACATTAGGGGAGTAATCCATCTTTCTGAAAAAGGTTCTGTGTCGCCTGCTCATGTGCATGTTTACACAGAAGTAACTCTACTTTAGAAAGTCTTGGATCATGGCCAGGAGGACTGGTTCAGATCATGACCTTGTCATGAAACATGCGGGGACCTTAAGCACATTCTAGTTGCTAAGATGAAATGCATTTTTTTCTTTGCTGTTTGTTTACTGCTAGGAAAGAATGGCTCCAGCCGCATTCAAGCTGTAAGGCCCAGTGCATATTTAACTAGGAATGCCACTGATTATAGTGAGATTTTCTTCCAAATATATGTACATAGGAACATGGAGCCCGATAGTAAACTACACCGGCAACTATGGACAACCATTCACATTTTGCATGTCTCTGCCTTGGGGCATGTCAGAGAATGTAAACAGCTTAAACCTGAAATGCTAAATGGCCGCTGCTGGGAAAAGGAGGGTTCAGACATGAAAGCAAAACTGCAAATTCATTTGTTATCCCTGTGGGTATGAGCACTTACAGTGAATTTTTTCTTTATAAAGAGGTAGATGCCTACTGAAAATTGAGCTGGTGGGAGGGGGAGATTAGGCCCTGAACATTTGTTTTTTTTTGGGGGGGGTAGTTTCTAATCAGCAATGACCACACAGTTAATGGTGATAAATTTGGCTGTACACCAGATTTACATGCTGGTCCAATAGTGAAAGAAACTTGATCTCCAAAAGAGCTTTAAGGTGTTCAAATGAGAGGTGAGGAATAACGGTGAATGGATGCGTTGCTGGGAGATTAAAATGGGGTGCTGTTTAGGATGCCCAGACTCAAATGAGCAATTCTTTGTCCACAGATTATTCCGAAATGGCATCAGACGAAGGAAAGCTCTTCATTGGAGGGCTCAGTTTTGACACCAATGAGCAGAATCTGGAGCAGTTGTTCTCTCCCTATGGAGACATTGCAGAAGGTGAGGAAAGGTGTCATCAGTCTTGCCTGTCTCTGGGGTATCATAATAGCTGCGTTTGCTAATGTTTCAGTATCCTGACACTTATTGAAAGTTTTGGGTTTGCACACATTACATAATAAAGCTAAGCACTACGCCCCTGCAGGCGTATTAAAGTCACAAATGGTAAAGGGTTGTCAACATGCATCACAGCATAATGGCAGAATAAAAGATCAGAATCCTGTGTTCCATCATTGCACAGGGGAGGGGGCTGTGTTGATAACTGGACATTCCCTTATGTGGTAGGGGCTGCTGTACTCAATGGATCAACTTTCTGTATCATTTAATAGGCTGTGCCACCTTAAAAGAAACACCTACAAAAGAACAATATAAATGGAAAGTTTTTCTTAACATGCAAGAAGGCTTTCGTTTGTTTTTAAAAATAAAGAGAACATTTGACCCACCTCCGTTCTGAAGTGTTAGTCCAGAAGTAGTGTACACACACTCTGAGACAAAAATGAACTCTGTACAATGCATGGTATAGTTGTATTACTACTTAACAGTAACACCCTTCATTTACTAGTCTTATGCAAAATATTTGGCTTTTTCCTTCACGCCTCACAAGCCACTAAATCCCATGCACCCTTAAAGTGTTTCCCATTCACCAAATGCACCCAACCTTGCACCCATTCCTCTTTGATAGCTACACAAAAAAATCCGGCCAGGAGAGTTGCTCACTTGTGCTGTACTGACTTTCACTTCCTCATCTCTTTACTAATTTGCTTTTTTTTTTTTAGTGTGAACGTTCTTTCTTGCTGTGTGGTAAAGGTTCTCAGTCGGTCCCATCAATATTCTCTTCTGTTTGTGTTTATTTAAAATGGGTCCCCAACCTTTTTTAGCTTGCGGGCACCTTTGGGATTCTGGTGGGTGCACCCACAAAATGGCTGCTATGGGCGATGTAGCCAGCCACCAAATGCTGCCACAGCTTACCTTTGGTCACACAGTAAAGATCCTTGTGCTGTGGTGGTAGCTGCCACCAAAGCAGTCTTTTTAAAAATCTGCAGAGCCAATAAAATCTCCAGTGGTCGGTCAGAGCCCCACCTGTCCCCTACCCCCTTTGTGCAAACGTTTGATGGGAGCCAGGGAAGGTGTCAGTAAGCACAGGGGTGCCCACGGGCACCACATTGAAGACCCCTGATTTAAAACATTTCTGTGCTGCCTCACGATGCTGGCCTCGGAGTGACTCCCAGTACGGTAAAGCCCAGATTTGACATTCCTACTCCAGCTAAAATGGCAACTAGAAGCACACTTTCAACACAGCAAATATCAAGACCAGCAAAGTGTGAGCGGGAAAGAAATCATCTTTGCCTGGTGGTTAACACTCAGAAGAAAAGGCACCAGGTTAATAGTTGCGGCGGGGGAGGTGTTCTGTGAATAAGGTGTCCCAGCCTAGACGGGTAGCAAGCAGTGTTCCCTCTAAGCTGAGTTAGCGTGAGCTAACTCACAGGTTTTTTAGCCTCCGGCTCACACATTGTTGTCTTCGCTCGGGAAGGAGGGCTCCAGAGCAAACTAATTTCTGCAGCAACCAAATCGCTCGCTCACAACTTTAATGCCAGTAGCTCACAAAGTAGAATTTTTGCTCACAGGACTCCACAGCTTAGAGGGAGCTCTGGTAGCAAATTTGCATGTGGGGTTCTGTATGCCAGTAGGGCCATCACTAGGTGCCATAGATGAGTGCAAATTGTGTAGTGGCTCTGGGATATGCTTTTGGAAGTCCAAGCTGGCTTTAAAAAAATCCTTGCTGCTCTGTCTTATCTATTTGAGCCTCATTAGTATCTTCTTACTACTTATCCTCCGCAGCCCTTCTCATTTACCCCATTGCTAATTCCTGCCTGTTGAAATTCCCACTCCTGAGACTAACGTAATTACTTAGGGTAAATTACTTCCTCTGTACCCATTTTCACCTTATTGGGGACCCAAAGTGGCCTACATCATTCTCTCCCCTGCCATTTTATCCTCACAACAGCCCTGTGAGGTAAGTTAAGCTGAATGTGTGACTGGTCCAAAGTCACCAAGGAAGTTCCATGGCAGAGTGGGGATCCAAGCCCTGGGTCTCACAGATCCTAATCTGATGACATTCCATAAACACTGCTCTAACCACACTGGCTCTCCCTAACATGATCTTCCAGCCCTGGCCTGCAATGGGTTTGAGCCTTAAGTACATGCGAGTTGTAATTTGACTATTAGCTCTGAGGAAATTGAAAGTCTTTTGAAGGCCAATTCGGACAGCCTGCCAGATTGTCTGGAAGCGCAAACCATAACCCTCAAACCATATCTGCAGCTGCTTCCACTTTGCCACCTGCTTGGCATTCCCATTTCTTGATGTCCAGAACTTTGTGCCCATTCATGCAGCATGTCAAGCCAGACGACTATGTAAATTGGAGCTGATGATTCCTAAGCAGCATCTAGCTTCCTCACCAGACTGCTTGCGCCTTCAGTTTCAAAGTGATCACTGTGTTTCAGAATGTGCAGAAAGCAAATGTGACTGCATCCATTGATATGGTGGAAGACTGCCCTAGTGTATAGGCCAGCTTTGACACTCCTGCCCTAGTGGAAGTGGTTATGTACTAAATAGGTTAATAAAGATTCCTGTGTGCATAAATCATGATGCCCCGTTCTGCTAATTTACACAGTAGCCACCCTTCTAGTATTAAATGTTGATTAGTGAGTCTTGTTTGTTGGGTGCATTTGAAGAGTACTGTGGTCCTCCAAGGTCCACCAATCCCGAATCGGTGCTAATTGACACCTGTGTATAGCCAATGGTGGCATCAAGATATTCATGTGTTCCTGATTAGTTAAAATATCTGGCTAATACCTTTTTCGCTTTTCTTGCCCACAGTGGTTGTCGTGAAAGACCGGGAAACCCAGCGGTCCAGGGGCTTTGGCTTCATCACCTATTGCCGTCCCGAGGATGCCAAGGATGCCATGAGAGCCATGAATGGAGAGGTGAGCGGGGACCCCCCCCCCCCTTCTTTGCTGATGCTCACAGACTTGCATCACGGGTTGTTGGTGCTCTGTTGTGTGTCCCCTTCCTTCACAGTGGTACCATAGCTTAGACTTGCTCAGGTTTGCAAAATAGGGTCCCATGTTGCACCTGCCCACAGGCCCTTTATTGCTGGAATCACATGACTTACAGTCCATGGGTGTTTCCTTGCACCTGTATTCTGTGTGTTTGCTGATCTTTTATGAAAGAGCTTCCTTGTGCTTTCCTGAACTTGAAGGAGCAAGCCAAGCACGGCTGTTCTCGCGATGCCTCCGATGCAAGTCTGAGGGCCCAGCTAGGTGTGGTGGCTTCCCCGAGTCCACCATAGGGAACGATGCCTCTGCCATTTTAATGAATGAAAGCCACAGGGCCCCAAATCATGATCAGTACCATAGGGAGAGCTTCTGCCATCCTTCCCCCCCAGGTGTTTTCAAGAGCATAAATCCCTGGCGTGGGGGGGAGACCCTTCCTTGCATGCCATGGTCCCAGTCATAACAGGACCCCCCAAAATTTCATCCCAAAATAGCAGAGGCACTCCCATGGTGGACTTGAGTGTGCCATCGCTTCTAGCTGGGCACTTCGTTTTCCTTTTTACAGAAGCACGTTCCTGTAGGCTGACCACCCTGTACATCACTTATTGCCCAGGGCCAATAAAGCATTCCAGAGCTTAGGTCTGCTAGTGGAAGTCAAATGTCAAAAGGGTTTACCTATATAAAATAGAACTAAAGAAGAGCCCTCCTAAATCAGACCAGTGGTCCATGTAGTCCAGCATCCCGTCAAACAGTAGCCAGCCAGTTCCTCTGAAGGGCTAACAACAGGGGATAGAGGCCAAGACTTTCCCCTGCTGTTGTCTCCTGGCTCTGAATGTGGAGGTTCCCCTCAGTCACCAGGGCTAGTAGCCACAGGTAGACCTGTCTGCCCTGAATCTGTCTAATCCCCTTTTCAAGCTGTTTATTCCTGTGGCCATCACTCCATCTGTCTCAAACCTACTACCCATCAGCAGTCCCAGACTCTTCATCCTTTCCTCATAGGGAAGGTGCTCCAGCCCCCTAATCATCTTGGTTGCTCTTCTCTGCACTTTCTCCAGCTCTGTGATGTCTCCTTTGAGATACGGTGACCGGAACTGTACACAGTATCCCAAAGGAGGCCACACCATAGATCTTTACAAGGGCGTTATAATAGTGGCTACTTTAATGGGAAACGCCCATCAGCTTACCTCTCCCCCACCCCCTTGGGAGAGCAGCCCCCTGCAGAGCATGAGCAGCCCCCTGCTGAGCATCCTCAGGATTTATCAATATATTTGAGGAGGCCTGGCCTGCTTACTTGGTTCGATGTGATTGAAGCTTCTTTGGTATGTAGCCTTGCCTTGGTAATGGATGTTTGGCCTCAGAAGAAGTTGTAGGGCCATATAGAAAAGTCAGAGTTGTAGAACCCTTTCCCAGCTGTGCTTGTGTGTTTCTTAAAGCACTTATACCCTGTGGCAAAAGGCCATTTACAATACATAATTAAAAGCCTATGTAAAATAAAACCTCAGTTCATCCTCAACCTAATGAAATGCCTGCAACATAAATTTCATGAAAATTTCTGGTGAGTTAAATGGCCTCACAATGCCTCCTGGAAGCTTCTGAGGGTGGCTTCCGACTCGCCTTGGGGAGGTCCATTCCGTGAAGCATGGGTAACCACAGATAAAGCATGGGCCCTCATCAGCGCCACACAGTCCACCTTTAACGAGGGAACACTTCCCAGGCGATGGCAAACTGAGGACTAGGTTCTCTGTTGAGAAGCATGCAACAGAGCCGCAATTGTCCTGCTTTGTAATATTAGAGTTTAGCATCCTTAAAGAGTAAGAGCCGCAATTGTCCTAATATTAGAGTTTAGCATCCTTAAAGAGTTTTACAAGAAAAGGGAAAACATTTATTTATTTATTTTACCATGAGACTTTATTTTGGAAACATACGAGGGATATGATCATCATGGCTAGAGGCATTAGCTTTGACTTTTCTCTTTCCAAGTCTGTGGATGGCCGTCAGATCCGGGTTGACCAGGCTGGGAAATCATCCCGTGGCTCTTCTGGAGGCAGAGGACGTGGACGTGGATTCTCTAGAGGTGAGTTTGCCCTCGGCACATGCCCCTCAGTGTTCGTCGCTCAGCTGCACAGGAGCAGCAAGGCTTAATAAACCCTTGCGTCTTTGTTCCAGGAGGTGGAGGATACGGAGGTGGCCGTTACGACAACAGGAGCGGCGGTTATGGTGGATCAAGAGACTACTATGGCAGCAGGTAAGCCCGCCTGGAGGAATCTGCAGCCCCTCTTTGGTTTGGGTAGCTGGAGACTGCTAGAAAAGTGCACGTTGGTTGCAGGTACCAGGCATTGCACCACAGCACAGATGTGAGACATTGGGGTTTTTTTGCTCGATCCAGCAAGCTGTAGTATTTAAACCACTTGACCCTGCCATCTGTGGATTTGTTAAAAAATCCTGTTGGCCATGCTGTGTTTTAAACATTCTCTGTGTTGAATTGCAGCCTTACCTAAAGGTGTGTGTGGGGGGGTACTGAGGGGGAGTTGCATTTTGGCTCCGTATGCTTGAGGTATGCTCAGCCGTGTCTTGCTCCACTTAGCCTCCTGGCACCTCCTTTAGGATGCATCCCAGCAATATTCTCTGCTAACTTGTTTGTGTCAGGAACAATGTTCCCTCTAAGCTGTGGAGCCTTGTGAGCAAAAATTCAACTTCATAAGCTACTGGCAACAATGTTGTGAGTGAGCGATTTGGCTACTGCATAAATTAGTTTGCCCTGGAGCCGTCCTTCCTGAGCTAAAACAAAAATGGGTGAGCCGCAGGCTAAAAAACTATGAGCTAGCTCCCACTAACTCAGCTTAGAGGGAACACTGGTCAGGAGTAATCCATTTCTCCTGTTGCTTGTGACCATGAGTTATCCCCTCATGATTCCCCTGTTCCCCAGGAGCAACATTTCAGGGAGGTGGGGGGGGGGAAGAGGGAAATTCCATTAATGGAGATGCATTTCTGTTAGCAGAAATTAACATCCTTTGTGTTGGAAGTGCTGCTGGATTTTTACCATGGGGGGCATACTTTAGATTACACTGCTGCTGTAGATCCCATATCCTTTGTCTACCTGTCGGGTCGTTGGGAAGCAATGCTTGCACTTGTTTCTCTCTGGCCCTGAAGTGTGTGTGAACTTTGTAGGCACTGTCTAGGCAGATACTGTGATCTTGTCATTCTCCATCAGTGGAGCGTGATATTCCTTGCACTGGAGCATATTCCTTCTGGTGGTGCTCCAAAGGCAAGGCCATGCAGGTGTTTCTGAACTCATCCCCTCTGGTGGGAGGCATACCTCCAGAGGGGATGAGTTCTGGCCATACATCACAGGAATATAAGTATTGTGTGGAACAGTCATGCATAGCTCCTGTGCACGTGTGGCTTTCAGGCTACAAGTGGCAATTCAAAAATTCCCTGTTCATTTCCTTGAGTCTCTTTAAGATGTACAAAACTTCCTTGAAAACCAGTGGTTCCTGTTTTTGTTGCCTCGCCCTAACTCGTGTATGTTTTCTTGGTGCTTGCTTGGCTGCAGCTGGAAGACAGTGGTAGTTAGTAATAAGTTTGCATCAGGAAAATTTGGTTGCTGGTGGACTAGACCACATTATTTTGATTCCTAAGAAACCAGGGATAAGCTGATGTGAAGTTCTGCATAGCCCACATAATGTTAATGCTTCCAAGGAATAGGGGCATAATTGCCACTCTTCCATCTTAAACCGTGGTTACTACGGAGTACAGAGACCAAATGCTTCCCCCCCAAAAGTGACAAAGCTAGGAGCAAATCCTAGTTTTTCATGTTTAGCCTTCTCGCAATCTTACTGACTATACAAAGAGACAACGGAGCCGAAAACTGGTGTAACAACAGGAAGTGGCTTGTATAACCCCCCTTCCCCCCAAAAAAAATTATGTTCTACCTATTGAAGTTCTGTGTACAGCTTTTTGCATATGCTGAGGAAACTGTGGACCTCAGCGACAGCCTAAACCGATCTTCTGTGCTTTTGCTGTAGGAATCAGGGAGGCTATGGAGACCGTTACTCTGGGAGCTCCTACAGAGACAACTACGATAACTAGGTATGTGTGTGCCTTGCAGTAGGCCCAGTGGGTTTAATTGTCATCCGTCCCTGGTCCTGTGGCAGCTGCATGAAGCATAGCGCTCAGAGCCGCTAACCGCCTGGTCATAACTTTGCCAGAAGGTTTCCTGTCCTCGTCAGCAGTACATTATCAATGCATGTGGTGAGTTAGCCCGCTGCCTGAATAAAGGGAAAGCTGAGACAGTTAAACCCATCCACCAACTTTTTTTTTAAGGGACACTTTTCAGCCAGCCTATAAAATTCATGACTGTGGCTTTTTACACACAGGGAACTTCCTCCGAACCGTAAGTTTGTGGGAATTAAACCTCCACGTTGTTTTTTTTTAAAAGGGTCGTGCTTTTAAAAAAAAAACTGCATGTGCAGATGGTCACTCTGTAACAGACAGTGCCCTCAAAGAAGAATGAAAGCTAGGAAGGTGAAGTCTTGGTATTCAGATTCGTGTTGTTGTTGTTTTTTGTGGGTTTCCCCCCACCCCATTTCAGATTAGTTGACAGCAGCATTTCTAAGGCCGAAAACCAGTTTGCCCCGGGCAGGGAGGAGGGAGACGACGTTAGTTGAAAATGCTATCCGTGTTCTTCAGCATGCTTTACGATTTGTACCTGCTTCTTGTCCTCAGCTTACACCGAGCATAAATCCTTCCTGAATCAAGATCGTCCTTCCAATGGCCGTATTTATAAAGATTTTTGGAGCTTCGCTGAATCTTGTTTAGTTCTCTACCTGTATTTTCTCTCTCTCTCCCCCCGCCCTTCCCCTTTTTTGTAGTCTTATCACATGCAGCCCAACAGCTTCTGCTACAAGATGGCCTGTTAGAGCTTTCTGGAGGAAAAAATGTTTTAATTTGCCTTTTTTTTTTTCCTTTTTTCCTTTTTTTTTACAGGTGTGTTTCAGCATTTTTTAAAATAACTTTTATTGGTTGGTTTTTTTTTCTCCCCCTCCACTCCCCCAGATTTCTTTTAACGAGCTAAGATTGGGGCTCCAGCCTAAGTTTTGCCTATAATTTTCCCCACCCCCCCCCCCCCCCCCCCGCCGCGTCCCCCCCCCAGGGAACCCGGGCAGCCGCGAGTTGGCTGGGAAAGCAAAGGCAGTCACGTAGACATGCCCCCTTCCTCCCCTGAGCCTCTCCGCTTTTGCGGAGAAGCTAGGGGAAGGGTGGTGGTGGTGGTTTAAATGCTTTTCTTTCCCTCCCCCAGATTGGGAAGGGAAAGAAAGGCATCTTAAACATGCCCGGGCTCCCTGCCTGATCTCCTCCTCCAGGGACCCCATGTCAGCTAGAGAAGGGAAGGCAGGGAGAGCCCAGGGCTTTCCCTTTGTCAGTTTCACTCACAGCTCTGGGGCGCCAGTGACATCGACAGTGGAATCTCTGGGGGCTACCGGAGGGAGGGAAAGAAGGCGTTTTAACATGCCTACTTTCCCCCTGGTGGTGTATATCAGACCCGAATATATTCAGGCAATTCCAAATATTTCCCCAGTCCTGATACTTTACCGGTATTGAACTGGGGAAATTCAGCATTTACCGATATTTTTTGGGTCTGATTTACCCAAAGCTGAAAAATACCGTTGCCACCCACCCACCCCGAGTCTGAGCAAGGTGTAAAAGATTCTCCTTGTTTTTATAAATGCATTGATAACCTTGTAGTTTTGTAAAAGTCCTCTGGTGTAGCAAGGAAAGGGGTACGGTGGAAGGCAGACCCCCTTGATTGTAAAGGGAGACCTCTCGTGTGTTTGATCTTCAAAAATCAGAATTTATACTGTATGATGTACCTAGAACGGAAGCTTGCGGAACCAGCAAGTTGTTCTTGAAAAACAACAACAAAAAAAACTCGTTTGTTTATATTTTTTTTTAAACTGGAAGACACACATGTAACTCGATATTGTACTAAAAGTGGTTAAGGAATTCCTGTATTCAGTTCTTTGGCTTCACGAAGCCTATTAAATACCCTTCTGAAAATGAATTCTGTTCTCGCCGTTTTAACACTCCGACGTGTTGGTTCTGTGGCACAGCGTCAGGCCACAGTACAGTCAGGTAAAGGACGGACGTGAATCTCCTGGGTGGCAGGTGCCAGTTCTAGCGCACAGTTAAGGTAGTCTGCTTCGAAACCCTTGTGATTGAGAGGGTCTTTTCAGCACTGACCGGTTCACTGCATGCATTGCAGAGGGTTCTGGAGCACGCCGAGCCTAGGCTGTGCGGTGTTCACACAGGGCACAAAGTGGGCCTGCTTGCCCACCTTGTGAACGGGATACATCTTAGGGTATAGTCAGGGTGCCGCCTCCCCCCGGGGGGGGGCTTACATTTTGCCAAAGGATGTCAGTAGTAGTGGGCAAGCCGTTGTGCTTGTGGGAGTATTGTCCGCAGTTCCTGCTGGCCTTGAGGAGAGAGAGTTGGGGAGTCAGATGATGCAACCCTCTAGTGGTCTGACTCCCTCTCCCTATCTGTGGGGAGAACCCTCTCTTCCCACAGGAACTCTCCCAGTTCTAGTTCTTCATCCTACACCACGGTGACTGAGGAGAACCTCTACCTTCAGGGGCACTAAGCCTCTGAATCCCAGAGCCAGGAGTCAACATCAGGGGAAAGCCTGTTGATGGCCCCTGTGTGAGGCAGGATGCTGGACTAAGGTGGACCACTGGTCTGATCCAGCAGGGCTCTCCTTATCCTACTTGGCGCTTAGTTCCAGAGGAGGGAGACAAAAGTGCAACACAGGCGACTCTGTCTTGTGCAGTTTTTATATTGCAGGATTAATAGCAGGGAGGGGCGAATTGGATCATGAGAACGAGATTGGAGGAACTGCGTGGTACTCCCATTCAGTGAATCCCCGCAGTGAATTTTGCAATTTGGGGGGGGGGGCAATCTGGAGACCTAACCAGAAGTTTTCTGCCATTTTGGGGGGAGGGGGATTTCAGACTCCTGCAGAGCTCCCTGACCTTTGCAGTGACTCAAAACCAGAATAAATGTACAACAAGCTGAAAGCATTGAGCCCTCCTACAGCATCCCAAAGTTGTCCGTTCTAATGCAGGTCGCTGAACTCAGCCTTTTCTCGGCACTGGATGCTTTTTTTTGCAGGGGAGCGAATACACAGTCCTGTGTGCGGCTGTTGCAGTTATAGCCAGCCTGCCCCTGTCTCGTCTACAGTAAGGCTTATTTTGTATCAAAAGGGAGCTCTTGTGTGAACGGGGACAAAACGGTGGGTGTAGAAAGGATTTTCTGCTGCGGCTCCTGGCATCCTGTTCTTGCCTGCCAGAAAGAACTGTCCGCAGATGTTGGAGGGTTTGCCGTCCCTGGTTCTGCCTCAGGTAACGTCTTCTGCTTGTCTGTTCTTTATGGTCGCTTTGTGCTTTTACTGTGGCTGGCAAGAGCAATCTGACCAGCGTGGCCTTGAGAGAGAGAGAGAGCTTCAGGTGGTTTCTTTCAAGGGTTGCTTTAGTCCAGGGGTCCCCAACATGGTGCCTGCCAAGGGTTTCCGTAGGTGGGGCTTTTATCCAGCAGGGCTTCCGATTGGCCACTGGAATGACCAGCGTGGCCTTGAGAGAGAGAGAGCTTCAGGTGCTTTCTTTCGAGGGTTGCTTTAGTCCAGGGGTCCCCAACGTGGTGCCTGCCAAGGGTTTCCATAGGCGGGGCTTTTACCCAGCAGGGCTTCCAATTGGCCACTGGAGATCCAATTGGCTATGGGGGGTTAAAACTCAGAAGCACCTGCTGCCACAGTATTTGTTTTATTTTCCTCTCTTCTCTCCCAGTGTATTTTTTTAGAACTGGCTCCCTTCTTTCAGTGTGTGGCTTCACTTCCCGTGGCAGCCATTTTGGGGGGGTTGGTGTCGCTTCCTGTGACAGCCATTTTGTGGCTGCACCCACCCCTCCATGTCAGAATTCCAAAGGCTGGAAAAGGTTGAAGGACCTCTGCTTTATTGGAGAGGCCTCTCCCCCCACAGCCCTGATGTCGCAAGCACAGCATGGGCTTTCCCTGCCACCTGAAGCAAGCTGTTGCTTCCCTTGGCACTTAAGGTGCCTTCAGACATGCTAAGTAATGCCGTTTCAGTCCACTCCAGCAAACATTTGCAAGTGCAATTCCACACAGCATAATCCAGTCGCAAAGTGCATTGTATTGGGTTTGAAAGTGCGTTATTTAGTTTGCGTGGAAGTGCCTTAAGAACTTCCCCAGATGGAAATAAACGGGATTTTTTGCCGTGTAAAATTGCAGGCTTGGATCCTGCCAAAAGCTTCCACTCGAGAAGATTTCCATCTGTGCAGCACAGCTTCCTTGCTTTCCTTCCTGTTGCAGCCCCCTAATGCTCCTCTTGCTCTTGCTTCCAAGGACAGTATGGGGAGCTAGAGGTCTGTGGCAGGAGGGGGCAGTTGGGAAGAAATTGCTTTCCATCTTTGGATTTGCTCTGGAATCCAGCCCATGAGTTTTGTTGTTAATCTGACAACCATTTCAAGCTTCGGTATAAAGACTCAACTAGAGCTAATGCAGGCTGTGGAAGGTCGGTAGTTCAGCAGTTTGAGACCCAGGTGCCGCATGATGGAGTGAGCTCTCATCTAGTTCCAGCTCCTGCCAACCTAGCAGTTCGAAAGCAAGAAATTGCAAGTAGATAAATAGGGACCACTTCGGTGGGAAGGTAACAGCGTTCCGTGCACCTTGGTGTTTAGTCATGCCAGTCACATGACCACGGAAACGTCTTCGGACAGCGCTGGCTCTTCGGCTTGGAAACGGAGATGAGCACCACAACCCTAGAGTCGGATTTCACTGGCTTTCGAGCAAGGGAACCTTTACCTTTTTAGAGCTAATGTACAGGGCACCTGGCAGTCCATGGAGTGAGAAAGCGCCGAGTGCTTGCCAGTTAAGCCAGCTTGAGGACAGTGCCCCAGGGGTCAGCAGCCAAATTATGTCAAAATGCTGAGCGAGGAGGGGGTTAGGAGCAGTGTTCCCTCTGAGTTAGCGTGAGCTAGCTCGCAGTTTCTTAGCCTCCAGCTCACAGATTTTTGTCTCCGCTCAGGAAGGATGGCTCCAGAGCAAACTAACCTATGCAGTAGACAGATCATTTGTTATGCCAGTAGCTCACAAAGTAGAATTTTTGCTCACAAGACTCCACAGCTTAGAGGGAGCATTGGGTTAGGAGTCCGTATAAGAGAACCCGTTTGGTTAACTGAAAGTAGACAACATAAGTGGCGTGTTTATAATCCACTAAAGTTCCCATAGCCCAAAGTAACAGTTTTGAATCTTTGTTAGACAGTGGTGCACATGAGGTCTTAACAATAAGTGACAGCTAATACCCAGAAGCACCCTGTGTGATTTGTTTTAGCACAGTGGCACTGCTTAGGCCAAACGTGGATTCACACTGCTGTATCTGCTAGTATAGGAGTCCTCAGGTTGATGGCAGATGTGTCCTTTGTATTCAGGCTGCACAGAAACTGGGCCTTTTGCTCTCGGTGTGGGAAAGGGGGTACACTTGCTTGGGCTAGCCAAAATAGTCAACACAAGCTTCTGAATCCTCCCAGCCTCTTCGTTGTGCCTGAGGTTAAATACATGGTGGGGGCACGCGTTGGGCAAGAGAGCAGACTCATTGCCTGTAGATGGGACATAAGTGCGGTTAGGTCTCAGGAGGTGTTGCAGAATAAGGTTAGAATCCCAGAGTGGGAAAGGGGCCGTGCGGGCCATCTAGTCCAACCCTCTTCTCAGTGCAGGATCAGCTTAAAGCATCCCTGACAAGCGTTCGTCCAGCCGCTGCTTGAAGGGTGCCAGTAAGGGCGAGGTCATCACCACCACCACCCCCAGGCTGCCCAGTGCACTGCAGGAAAAAATTCCTAATATCCTGGCGGTACCTTTCCGCCTGTAATTCAGACCCCCAAGTCCTATCATCTGCTGCCAACAGGAGCAGCTCCCTGCCCTCCTCTAAGTGACAACCTTTTAGATAAATGGTGCTGGAGGCTTCTGGGCCCAGGAAGCAGACCCAAAGCCTTTCCTTTTGAAAATACAAAGAGACACTAGAGAATGCTGTCATGCTCTCTGTAACGCTGGGCCCTGTACCTGACAAG